AAAGTTGCTTCTCTGCCAATGAACAGACTCTTTATGTATAATACAAGTATTTTGTTAGGTCTTATCAAGCTAATCAACAGTTAATTTAAGCCTGCTCAGAAATAGTTGGCAGTCATATTGCTGTCCAAAAATGAAAATCTTTCTTAGTATAAGCCTGTTAACTAGTTCTTTATGGCTTGCTCTTGTTACTGTAAAAATTTTTAGTTGTTTGTGACCTTTATAAAGCCAAAAGATCTGTTTTGGCACCTTTATTATGGACTTGGGATCTTTTCTGATACAAGAGTGCCGTATCACTTCTTCCTCTTTTCAGAATTAGCAAGTGTTGTGGTCTGGGACAGACTGGCTACTGACACAAGTGACAGATGGTCTCCCCTACCTCTCTCCAAGGAGAGGAGGGAGACAGAGAAAGAGACTTATGAGTTTAGAAGGAACTGAACTACTTTAATGAAATATTAATAATAAAATAATAAAAAGGAAATAATAAAATATATACAAAACCATATCAAGCTCCCAGGATGACGATCACGTCACCGTCAGGCACAGGGTAAGTCCCAGACTGGATCCAGGGATGGACAGGAACTGGATTCTGGATCTGGATTCAGCATTGGGATCAAAGGCAGACAGAGTCCTCCTCGGACATAGGCCATTGAAGAAAGAGAGCTGACCCTTTGATCCCTCGGCTTTTATACTGCGCATGAGGCAAATGGGATGGAATACCCTGTTGGTCAGTTTTGGGTCACCTGACCCGTCCGGTCCTCTCAGCAGGTGAGACCCCTCTACGCTTTTCCGCTTCCGACCTTCCAATGGGGCAAATAACAAAGTTATCTGCCCTTGGCTGTTATAGGAACAAGTATAAGCAAGATCCTCTCTGCATACCACGCCTTGGCATCAGCTATAAACATACGTCTTACCACTCTGAGAGTGAACAGTTTCTGCAAAATATGCTGTTAATTTCAGTAGTTAGAAGAGGCTTAGCTAAAACGTAAAATTACTGAACAGAAAATTGGTTTTGTTTTACCTCAAACCAGGACATTCCACCCTTTATTCCATACCATTTGCATCTTGCTCAGATCACTATTACTTTTTATCTATCAAATCGATGCACACACACACATATATATAGATACACAGGTCACTCATTTATGATTTATGTTTATACACAGAAGTTCATTAAGTCCGTTTAGTTCATGACTGCAGAATTCCATCTATCATAGAAGACCCTCAGGGGAGGAAAAAGGGTATGAAATTCATTGTGGTTCGTGCCCAGGGGTAGCACATGATATACACTTTCTAAAGATATCTGGTATCAACTTTCCTACATTCTCTCCCAACATTTAATTTTTAGTAGATTTCAGATTAATTAGAAGAGCATTAATCTAATCTATAGTGTATATCCTGGAAGATAATTTTTAAATAAGACACAAAAAAAGACAAAACTTAGCTATCTGAAATTACTATGAGGGATCCATTAGAATTTTAACTCACCATCAAGAAACTATTTCAAAAACATTCAAGGTCTACAGTATCTGTAAAATTTAAGGATTTTTCTTTTAAATTACATTCTTTTGAGTATTTTTTCTATGTTTTCTGACTTGTACTTTTTTATTTTTTAACATTCTCTGTGAGTGATTTGCAATTCCTATAGAAATACTTAAAATTAATGCATTGTTGGTCTATTCTGGAAAAGTTTCTTGTACTTTATTGATTCAATGACTTCTGGCACTGTTAGAAAGGAATACTTTTAGGGAGTCCGTGTTGTTCACAGAAACAAGACTGAAGCATAAATATCCCGAGAAGACAATATTCTCACAAGAGAAGCAACATCTTCCAGAAGTGGTAAGTTGATAAGATAAATAGTTACATAAGACAATAACTTAAAAACCTATTTTCTATTATCTATTAAATAATATTAATTATTTTTCAAATATGATATGTGTTCTCATTGAAGATATACAGGGACCTGGTGTTAATTTCACTTCCTAAATATTCATGATTAATATAAAAAACCTAGTCTCTAAGGCTGCTCCAAAAAGGGACACTATTGTTAAATTCTGGTACAAGGACAGGAAAACCTATGGCATCTGAATTGTTATTCTTACTGGCACTGTAACATAAATCTACCTTACAAAAGTCAGACTGTGTTATCTTAATGTAACTATTGGAATAGATAACATAGAAATTTAGTATCTTGAGAACAAAGGTTGAAGTTATAAATGAAATCATAAATTACTCCTTAGCTCACAAAAGAAAAATCATGCTGCTGCTGCTGCTGTTTCCTGGAGTTTCCTGGGCACCCAGAAAATTAAAACCAAAGAAACAAATTTCACTTGGTATGAGATGGTGTGATCCCCATGCATCTGTTGGAAACACGACTAATTACCATGTTGTAAAATTAATTTGTACAGAAAAGATGCTCACTCCTATCAAGAACCATGCTAGGTCTAGGCTTTACTTAAAAAATTAGTCAGTTGAAGACTAGTGTTTCAATGAGTTTGTGAAATGAATAAAAATTTGCATTCGTCCTAGGTTTATAATACAACTGAAAGTCTACACTAGGATGATCACAGCATTTTTGCTTACACTTTATCAGTGAAATATTGCATGTTATCTTACAGTAAGTACAGTATGAACACATTCAAATACAGGGAACATGCTAAAGTGACAATGTGAAACAAGGTTTTCAAATACTGTAAAATAACTGGACTCATAAAGCTATTTGAGTATTTATTATCACAATGCATTTCTATCAAACTAGCACGTGTTCTGCTATAAAACAAACTATAAATATATTTTGATTGTTAATTAAAAGGAACTTACTATAAAGTTACTTACAAAGCACCTAGATATGAATCAGGATTTCCAGGAAATCTATTTCACACAAAAGAATTCAACATGAATGTTTTCTTGACTTCTATGAGATTTAAAGTAAGATCTCTGCCAGTAACTACAGGGGTAAGGAAAGTTGTTTTGTACTTTCATCTATCACGGTGATAGTTGACTTTGCGTTTACTTAAATAATAATTTCCATGTCATTACAACCTTTTGATTTCCTAAAACCAATATTCAGAAATTAACATAGTATAGTATATTTGTTTCTGTAACTGTTTAAACACAGAATATGCACGTTTACTTAGATACGTTCCCTTGGAAGCAAGACAAGAGCTCCAATAATAATTCCAAAACTGATCTAAAACTTCATCATCAATAGCGCATCTCATAAACACGGCTTCATCCACGTCTCAAGACCAGAATTGCACTGATATTTTCACCTCTTAGAGACACAAACTGCTAGAAGCAAAATGCTAAAGGCCATATTGTCTTCCTTACTCTCCTCCCTAGCATTCCTATGCAGTCCAAATGTACCTCACAAAACTGCAGAAGCGATAGGGATCATCTCAGAGGTCAGATGAAAACACTGAAACAGTGACACAGTAAGACAGACTCCACAAACAAAAGATTTAAAAGAAAGGTGTGTGATTCCAGACAGCAGTCAAGCTTATCATCACCTTGAATTGCTGTCCATCATACTAGAAAAGGATGACTCCCCCAGGCAAACACCAGCTGGAGTGCAATCATACTTTACTCTTCTCTAGTGTCTTTATCTGATAACCTCAAAATACTTGACAAACATTAATTCATTTCACCTCAGAATACTTTCTGCTGCTGGCTAAATATCACTATAGTCTAAATAAGGGATAACTGAGTGGCTTTCAGCTAACAGTAAATCGCTCTCCTTGTTACGCATTACTGGTCAAAGATACATATGGGGAGATTCTAAAGGTTCCTCAGAGCTTGGTCTACTGTACCAGTAAGAGTTTGTGCAAAGCCAGACTCTGGGAAATGCGCAACGCCAAATATCCCCAATTTTTATTATCTGTGTGAGAAGCTTGGCTCCAATATCTGCTTCTAACAGCCTTCATTTTTGTACATGGCATCATGAGAAACAGGAGAATCTCTGACCACACCAGGGCCAGGCTTACTATTTTAAAAAAAAAAGTACTGTGCATGGGAGAATCTGGAAACTTTACCAGATTATAAATCTGTCTCAGTTTCTTATGCTTTAAATGTTGAGACAAAACAGAGAAGACATAAAGATTACTGAATTATATTTTTTACCATGATTGTCCCTGATTATTATTATTATTATTATTATTATTATTATTGTAAACTTTCTCTCTCCAGCAACATAAAATCAAAGCTAGTGACTGGCAGACAGTGGAAATAATATGTCTGCAGAAATCTGCAAAGTTACAGTTGTTGACCAATATTTCTAAACAAAGAAAACACAAAAGTTACCAAGGCTTGGATTGTAGGACAAACCTATTAATAAAATAGGTTTGGGTACAGTTTTCATCATAATACGATTCCCAGATTACAAACACCACAAATAATATACAAGAAGAAAAATAATAACAAATATTATATGATGTTGTAGGAGATCACAGCTTTATTTATTATCATTTTGATGCCTCTCTATACTTCTCTTGATTATCCTGCCTTGCTGTATAATGTCTAATATACAGACTTATAAAGATGTCAGTGGATTTAGAGCTGCTAACAATTCTAGCTGTGCTCCTTAGACATAAAGTGAGAACTGGTCCTTGAAATAGTAAATTCTCTGCAATTAAAGGGATTTTATTCTGATGCAGCCATCAGAGATTCAGATTTTTAAATCGATTGTACAGGTACAAAAGAGTAAATGCCTAATACCATCTCAGAGTAAAGGTGTGTCATTTATAACTACATAGGAATACGTATGCAATATCATGCCAGGTTTTGGTCTAACGCAAGTGATAGTTGGTCAAAATATTTTCAATTTTACAAAAATGCTCATAAATCAAACCACAATTTCCTATAAACATTCTATGCTTGGTTACAAGAAAGTATCATTTGTGACTCTAAAAGCTATTTCTACAAGAAAAAGACTAAGAAACAACCACCAACAGTAAGCCAAATACTAATGATGCCATCAGAAATAACAGTTTTTAAAAGTTACTTACGCCTGTCGGTCCCTGTACATCTTATTCACTTTCTCCCATTGAAAATTAAGCTGAGTCAGCTTTTCTTGTATATTTGCCGCTTCCCTTGGTGTAGCACTTTGCAAAGCCGGTGTCTTCTTGCTGTGAACAATGTCTATATGACCCAGCAGTCTCCCCAGGCTATCTTTAATGCTCTGTAATATCAAGATTTTAGAAAAGAAAAACAAAATATGGTTTTATAAATTAAAAAAAAATGTTCATAAGCAAAAGAAAAAGGAGGAAAGTTATAATTAAACAGAATAGAACAGACTATTTCAGTTGGAAAGGACCTACAAAGATCACCTAGTCCAACAGCCTGATCAATTCAGAACTGACCAAGTTAAAGCAGTTTATGAAGGGCATTATCCTGCTAAACACTGGACATTGGCCTGTTAAACGCTGATAGACATGGGGCATTGATCACCTCTCTAGGAAGCCCGTTCCAGTGTTTGAACACCCTCTTGGTAAAGAAATGATTCCTAATGTCCTATCTAAACCTCCCCTGACGGATGCAGTTTTGAACCATTCCCACGCATCCTATCACTGGATCCCAGGGAGAAGAGCTCAGCACCACCCTCTCCACTTATGCTCCTCAGGAAGCTGCAGAGAGCAATGAGGTGGCCCTTCAGCCTCCTTTTCTCCAAACTAGACAAGCCCAAAGTCCTCAGCCACTCCTCAGAGGACATTCTTTCCAGCCCTTTTACCACCTTTGCTGCCCTCCTCTGGATGCATTCAAGGACCTTCACAACCTTCTTAAATCTTGGGGCCCAGAACTGCACACGGTCCTCCAGGTGAGGCCACACCAATGCTGAATACAGCAAAATAATCCCCTCTTTTGACCGCCTGGTCATGCTGGGTTTGATGCACCCCAGATGTGGTTTGCCCTCTTGGCTGCCAGGGCACAGTGCTGCCTCCTGTGGAGCCTGCTGCCCACCAGCCCCCCCAGATCCCTTTCTGCAGGGCTGCTCTCCAGCCACTCCTCTCCCAGTTTATACCTGTGTCTCACATTACTCCATCCTGGGTGCAGAATCCAGCACTTCAACTTGTTAAATTTCATTCATTTAATCATAGCCCAATGCTCCAATCTATCCAGATCCCTCTGCAAGGCCTCTTGTCCTTCAAGAGAGTCCACAATAGCTTTGACAATAATAACAGTTTTACAATAACTGAGTAATACTGACTGAATGTCTATCCTTTCTTTGAAGGCTTAATAAACTATTTCTGAGAAAGGTGATGGCTGGAGGGGAAGCAAAGCACTAGTAACTTCTGTCACTTATTAATTACTCTACACCAAGGTTATATCTGTTTTAACCCCCTTTCTTCTTAAAAAAGTAGAAAAAAGTCCCATTTTAAAGAATTTTGTTTAAGCATTCTTTAATTATTTTGCTGTTTATGCTTCTCTTTTATACCTGTTTCAGCAGATACGAAAAAATTATCAAAGTAACACTATGAAAAAAAGTGTATCAGGTATCACTGGTTTTGCCTTTTGCTGGATATTCACAACCCAACATTTAACATTCTTCAAGGAGTCAGTCAATTGTTGTTTCAAAGAAAGACAAAATACTTCACAGTACACCGACCTAACTGCACAATGCCATATTTTTGAAGACCAAAAGGAAGAAAAACTGAATTTACTCTAGACTTTTAACACCTTTAAGATGTGTGAAACTATTTGAAACTCCATACATTGTCAATGACCATTAATTATCCATTATTCATTTATCAACCCATTCAGTTCCATGACTGAATTATACAGGTTTTCTTTTTGATCTATAAAGCAAGATACAAATACGCTGTTTATTTCTATACAGTGAACTAAGTGGTGTTCAACCTCTTTCTTTCTACTGAATCTTTTAGAATCATTTGAATGACTGAATTTGTTAGAAAACCTAGTGCTGAGGAAATATACTGTCATAACCTGTGCACTGACTTTAAGGATAAAAGCACTGAATGTAACAAAAAGTAATTAGCAGACACTTCCTCCTTGTGAATCAAGACTGATGTAATGAAATCCTCAAGCAGAGTACTTCCTGTCACATTTCAGTCTACTATCCAAACGGGCATAATTTGGTACTTCTGTGATTTACATGTTCTTTACCAGAAAGACAACATAAATATTTCTTTGAATCAACCCAAACCCATAAGTTACATAAGCTTACCTTTCAGCTCCACATTATGAGTATCAAAACCAGAGAAATAAATGCAGGTTTTGAAGGAAAAACATGTTTTTTTATGCAACTAATTTATACAGCTGTCATTTCTTTATCGTCCTGGTAACATACATCATATGTAGCATTACCAGAGGAAACATAAGCAAAATGAATGTTTCTGAAATGTACTTTATCATTAATTCTTTCCATTTTAATTGCATTTCTTGTAGGTGGCCTCTCCCAGCCTCAGTGCAACAAGGCACATGATATTTGTGCTGTTCTGAGGATTTTATTTTTCTCTCTATGGTATTTGTGTTTGGAAGGAAAATGGTCTCTCTTCAAGACTAGTCAAGACATCACCATAAAGCCAGAACATCTCACAATTGCTGATTTCCTTCAGCCAAACAAAAATCCATTCCTCAGTGAAATGAAGTTCATTCTTTTGAAAAGCTGTGGCCACGGTTCCTTACAATTGTGAAGTTCGCACTATACCTCTTGCTGCCTGAATAAAATGCAGCCAGGCATGAAAGAATTAAAATGTTTTGGATTGATGACTGCATCAATTTGGTTTTAGTCTGAAGTTAGACTTTCTTTCAAGTTTTTAAAGTTTTGATTTTCTCCTTTTCTCTAATGAAAGGTTAACAACTGAGATTTTGTGCATTCAAAACAATAATTTGTGTGATGCAAAGCTCACAAAATTTTGTTCCAAACTAGACAAAGGATCCAATATACCACTGAGCCACTAAAACCCTCAGATAATTCTTGGGATATGTTTATTAAAATAGCAGTGCAAAAATAAATGTCTCCCTACTCTATTCAGTGTCACAATATTTAGCCATTTCTTACCATTTCTGCTTTTTAATGAAAATACAGACATGTATTTTCTTAATCATAAGATTAATACAGACATGCACATGTCTCACTGAAACTGCTGCAGAAAGGAATACTCTCCGGATAAAAATCTACAGCCATATTGCCATAGAATCATAGAATAGTTTGGGTTGGAAGGGATCTTTAAAGGTCATCTAGTGCAGCCCCGCTGCAATAAGCAGGGACATCTTCAACTAGATCAGGTTGCTCAGGCATCATCCAACCTGACTTTGAATGTTTCCAGGGATGGGTTGGAAGAGACCTTCAAAGACCATCTAGTCCAACCCCCTGCCATAGGCAGAGACATCCTTCACCAGATCAGGTTGCTCAAAGTCCCGTCCAGTGTGACTTTGAAGACTTCCAATGATGGGGCATCCACAACTTCTGTGGGCGACGTTTCTCCAACCGTTTCTTCAAACTCTCTAAATTTCCAATACCACTACCTGTAACTCTTATACTGTGCTTCTGTCCCTTATTTCTTCTGAAATACGTAGGCCTCAGAATGAAAACTTGTAGCTGAGAACTTATCAGACCAACTGACCAAAGACTCTTAGTCTCGTTGAAGACAAAAACATTCTTTAGTTGCTGCACGCAACTCTACAGCAACTTTCTTTCAGAGGTAAGGGAGAATGCTGATTTGACAGAGTTATGAGAAGTACAAATTGCTAGTTTGTGTACAAGAAGCTCTTTCACACTATCAGCACTTTTGAAAGGAGGCAGGGATCAAAGGATGTTGTGTAATTTTGCAGTAAGCAGAAAAATAATGAGTGGAAGAAACACAAACAAAAAAAGAAAATTAAAATTGCCCTCTAACACTGTCACAGTCTGGTTAAACCCTGTAGCTAGAATCTGATGGTTCTATTTCACCATGCATAATAAAAAAATCAGATTTGCCTTTCTTCTCTCTGTGAGGTGCAGGTATCAAATTTGAAGTAACACAGGAGAGATTTTGGAGGTTATAATGTAGTAGAAATAGAAGAAAAAAGACCATTAGCATGAGTGGACTCTTCCTTGATTTGTTGCCATTCTTGTCATGGCAAATGAATCTACCCAAAAAGTCCCTCAGTCAGTCTCTCATATGGATTCAGATAGACATGGGAAGTCAGCACTGAACATCTGCATTTTAATTCCCTATGGGTGGTTAGGAATAAGAATGTTGTAGTTACTTAGGTGCAACAGAATTCCCATCTACACGCACACTATGCAATAGAGTTATTAAAGAAAGTAAAAGCTGTACTAAGCATTGACAAGCACAATATTCCATCACATTGTTTTGCTTTCTCTGTAGCTCCAGTAAAAATTATGTCTCACATATATAGCTTGTGCTTGGTAATACAAATGAAAAATAGAATTGTCTTTTATTAGTTTCAGCCAGAGACGGAAACACATCTAGCCAATTAATTCAATTTGGAAAAAAAAAAAAAAGTATGATAAAACACATTTTCATCTATTTTAACTGCAACTAGATAAAAAATGGTAACTTTGCTTGTTCAGTGCCTTTCTGCTCACCTAATTTGAAGAACAAGCATCTCATTTATATGCCAACACATTAAAAAAGGATGAAATAGAGGTCCAATGCTGCAAACTTCTGCTTATTGGAATAATCTCAACTGATGCTGAGAGTCCAGAGAACATTCTTGTGATAAGATCTTTTAGAGCTGGAAAAAAAAAGTTTCTTTTTGTAATAGTTTGTTCCTTTTCTTTGCAATATTTTAAAGGTAACAAGATTTCAAATAATACATTTTAAAAGACATTTCTGATCTTATATCATAGAAGGAAACTATTTGAAGAGTCTAGTAATCTCAAATTATAACAATTTAAATGTAGTTTAAAGGGTAGTTTTACTTATGAAAACTTCACACTAAGATTTTCCTTCAAGGTTTACTAGTATTACTGAATAGAAGGACAGGGGGTATATTCGTTTCCAATAGGTCTTAGAAATAATTACACCCGAACTTTTCACCCTGAATATAATACTCATTTAACAAAACAGTAAAAATAACAGCTGCAGTTCACTTTGTTAAATTTTTGGTGTTTCGTGTTCAAGTTTTTGATGGAATTAACTTTTTGAATATTCTACACATTTTAATTAAGATATATATTAATTATGTTAGTTGTAAATATTCTACAATTCT